TATTACCCTGACACCAAGCCAGACAAAGGCACCATAAGAAAACTACAAACAAACATCCCTTACAAATGCTGATGCAAAAATCCTCAACAAAATACCAGCAATTCAAATTTAGCAGTACATTAAAAGGATTATACACTATGAATGAGTATAATTGACTCCTGAAATAAAAGTATGTTCCAACACGTGAAAATCAGTGTAATATCACATTAACATAAAGAAGGAAAAAACCCTCATGTGTATCTTAATCAAAGAAGAAAAAGCATTTGTCAAAATTTAACCCACATTCATGATAAAATATACTTAATAAACTATAAAAAGGAATAAAACACCTTAACATAATGTTATATTTAAAAATAAAAACACCCAGCGAACACAGCTAACATTATAATGAAAGGCTGAAAGCTTTTACCCTAAGAGCAAAAACAAGGATACCTGCTTTTACTACTTTAATTTAATATAGTACTGAAGGTTCTAGTTAGCTAAAACAATAAGGCAAGTAAAATAATAAAAGATATTCCGATTTTTTAAAAAGTAAAATTTTCTGTTCGCAGATGACATAATCTTATATATTAAAAATATTTTACTTTCTGTGAGATAAACTATCAGATGCAATAAATAACATTCAGCAAAACTACAGGATACAAAATCAACACACAAAAATCAGTTGTATTTCTGCAATAACAAACTATCTGAAGAAGAAATCAAGACAACAGTATCATTTATGATAGCGTCAAAAAATAAAATATTTAGAAACCAACTTAACCAAGGAAATGAAAAACTTGCATAGCAAAAACTATAAACATTGCAGAAAAGTATTAAAGATGACACAAATAAATGAAAAGACATCATGTGTTTATGGATTGGAAGACAAAACCTTGTCAAGATGCCATCGTTATCTATAGTCATCTACAGATTCAATAAAATCACTATAAAAATTCCAATATTTGAAAAAATTGAAAAACCTATTCTAAAATTCAGATGAAATCTCAAAAAACCCCAAGTAGCCAAATCAATCTTAAAAACTAACAAAGTTAGAGAACTAACACCTCCTGGTTTCAAACTTACTGTAATGCTTCAGTGCCCAAAATGATGTTGTACCAGCATAGAGACAGACATAAAGACCAATGCAATAGAAAAAAAGAACCAAAAAATATGGTCATGATTTTTAACAAGGGAGTCAAAACTATTCAATGGGGAAAGGACAGTATGTTTTTAATGGTGTTAAAAATGAATATTTACATGGAAACCAATAAAGCTGGACCCTTGCTTTACACCATATAAAAAACTTAATTTAAAATGGACCAAACATCTAATTGTAAGAGCTAAAACTATAAAACCCTTAGAAGAAAACACATGAAAAATGTTTCATAATGTAGAATCTGGCAATAATTTCTTGGATATGACAGTGAAAACACAGACAACAACAACAAAAATACATAAAAAGAACTTCATCAAAGTGAAAAGCTTTTATGTATCTGAAGATACAATCAATAGGTTGAAAATAAATTCACGAAGGGAAAGAAAATTTTCACACATTATATATTTGATAAGTAATAACCAGGCTATATAAAGACCTCAGCAATAACAACAAAACAATCAAATTTAAACAGGAGCAAAGGTTTTAAAATACACATTTCTTTAAAGAAGATAGATAAATGACCAGTAAGCACAGTATAAACTGCTCAGCATCACTAATCATGAGAAAAATGTAAATCCAAACCACAACGCAATACCAACTGACACATGTAAGTGTAGCTGCCGTCAAAAAAACCACCACCAGCAAACCGAAACAACAAAGCCCCAGAAAACAGGAAATGCTGGATGTGGACAAGTCAGGACTCCTGCACACTGCTGGTGGGAAAGTAAGATGCCACAGCCACTGTGGAAAACAGTAATCACCACATGATCCAGTAATTCCACATCTGGGTATATACGCTAAGAAACCGAAAGTGGGAATTTGCACACCCATGTTTATAGCAGCATTCACAAGAGCCAAAGGGTAGAAAAAGCCCAAATGTCCATGTACAGATGAATGGATAAGCAAATATGATCAATACACACAATGATACATTATTCAGCCTTAAAAAGGAAAGGCATTCTAATAATGCTACAACATAAACCTTGAAAAGATTAACACCAAAAAATGCAAATACTCTATGCTTTCCACTTTTATAGCATACCTAGAGCAGTTAAATTCATAGACACAGAGAGTAGGATGTGGTTTCCAGGGGATGGGGGAAGGGAAAGGGGAGCTATTGTTCCGTGGATACAGAGTTTCACTTTGAGGTGACGACAGGTTTGGAATGGATAGTGGTGATAGTTGCACGACGTATTTGTACTTAATGTACTTAAATTTTCTGTTATACATATTTTACCATAGTAAAAAAATTAGCAAATATTTAAAAATCTACATGTTTCTTTGAACTGTTTCTTTACATCCCTTGTCCATTTTTCAATTTGGTTGTTGGTCTTTTAATAATTTAGGATAGACATATATGTGTGTATATATATAACCCAAATTAGCTTTTTGTGTGTCATGTATGTTGCAGATCTATTTCCCCAGTCTGTTGACTTTTGACTTGGAGACATTTTTCTCACCTATAAAGTTTTAATTTTTATGGAGTCAAATGCATCAGTCTTCTAGTCAAAGGCTTATTTATGGGTATGGTGTTTCAGTTTAGGATGATAAAGAAGTTGTAGATATGGATAAAGGAGATGGTTGTGCAACACATTATACTGGATGCCACTCAACTGTACATTCAAACATGGTTAAAATGGTAAGTTTTATGTTGTATATATTTTACCACCAAAAAAGGGTCGGGCTTAGATGTTTATAGGTTAGGGGTTTGGAGTACCTCTAACATTTATTCCCCAGGGATCTAATTTATAAAACACCCACACAAGGAAAGTAGATACTGACTTCACAAATTTCTTTATAAGTCCCACAGCAGAGGCTGTCTGGGAAAGCAGAGGTGGAAAAAGTCACATAAACTCGAGGTCAGTGTGAGACCTCCCATCCCCTATTCTGGAATCAGATGGAGGAAGGCACGCATGCAGGCTGAGCTGGAGAGATGAGCTGGGTGGCAGAACAGTCCTCCCATGACCCTAGACCTTAAGTGCTCCCACATGCTCTCAGGCATGTATCAAACCAAGAAAGCAGGCTAGGAGGGTAACACAGCTACCTGTGTACAGGGAGCTACAAAATACTTGAGCTGAGCAAATGACACACAAGGAGACAGAAGCAGTATGACCTTTACACAGTGACCTGGCTGAAATCATTTCAGGCTCTCATTAATCAGGCGAGCTCTGCTTTCTCTCTGAGGTAGGTAAACTTAAGGGGTAAAGTGGGAGTTGGGGAAAACAGAAAAGAAAGCCTGGTGGTATTTCTTCTAACTCTGTTGTAAATAAAAAGTAACACACAAATGCCCTGTCTCAGGACCCAAACGTTAGGTGAAGAAATGTTTGTCATCTCAGTCACATGACATGGACTGTAGCAGAGCAGTACACACATGGTCATTATTCCTTTCCCTCTGCACGTTACGTGCTTTCTCAGTTTTATAACGTACCTGATCCACTTGTCTCATCATACTAGCTGCAAACAAGGCCACTGAATGTCACACCAGGTGGCCAGCATGTCTGTGAAGGGCGGAAACTGGGGCAAACAGCTGGCAGAGGCCAGCTAGAAAGTCCCCGATGCCCACTCCATGGAGGACTCCACACTTAAAAGACAAGATAAGCACGTGTCAGGCTGCCTCACTAGTTATCCCCTCAAATAAAAAAATAAAAGTAACCCCTCCAGGGAATGTGCACATACACACAAAATTACGTGCACACAGCTACATGCAAAGGGGAAAGGCTGGGAAGGAACCAAATACACCTCTGAACACCAGTTACTTGTGGGGAAGGGGAAGGTGAAGCTGCCTGTCAGCATTACTCACCTTTTCAACTGATGAACTTACATCAATTTTGGCAATTTCTCATAAAAAGGCAATTTTCACTCCTTGGGTGATCACCCAGGTCCTGCAAAACTGAGCCACCAACAACCACCTGCACCACTTCCCACGAGGCCAAATAATAGCTTCCCTCAAAGCTCAGCCATCCCACCCACCTCCCAGTCCTGTCCCATGCAGGGGGCTACCGGCCTCCTGGGGTACAGGGGTCCAGGCCAAACCCAACCCACAGACGGCTGGTGAAACCAGCATGTATCCAAGGGCCTTCCCCCGACCTAGGCCACGTGCCCACTGCATAGATAGGCCTGTGCTCGCTCCCCTAGGACAGAGACTCCCTTTTCTTCAGTTGGAATGAGGGATGGGGAGATTTGATGGTGTCCTGCACAGGTTGGTTTCTTCGGTTGGAACGAGGGATGGGGAGATTTGATGGTGTCCTGTACTGGTTGGTTTCTTCAGTTGGAACGAGGGATGGGGAGATTTGATGGTGTCCTGTACAGGTTGGTTTCTTCGGCTGGAACGAGGGATGGGGAGATTTGATGGTGTCCTGTACAGTGGTTGGTTTCTTCAGTTGGAACGAGGGATGGGGAGATTTGATGGTGTCCTGTACAGGTTGGTTTCTTCGGCTGGAACGAGGGATGGGGAGATTTGATGGTGTCCTGTACAGGTTGGTTTCTTCGGCTGGAATGAGGGATGGGGAGACTTGATGGTGTCCTGTACAGGTTGGTTTCTTCAGTTGGAATGAGGGATGGGGAGATTTGATGGTGTCCTGTACAGGTTGGATGCTAATCTGATGAGGTGCTCTTGGAGAAGCTTGCCTGAGTTTGGGGCTTTCTCAGCACGTGGTGTGCGCTGCCTCTTCGAGCTTCAGAAGTCCCAGAAGGAAAGTGCTTCTGTGACCCCCATTTACTGGTGAACAGAGGTCAGGTGGTTTGCAGCCGGCCGAGCAGCTGCTAAGTGGCCAACAGGCTGGATCTGCGTCTCACTTGCAGAGGCCCTGCCTGGCTGCTGGGGCTGCCCTGAGACTCCCTCCACCTCCTCTTCCCTCCACAGCTTTCCCAGCTTCTATCCACAGCTGTGCTCCAGGTGGGGAACACCTATGGGTGCACCAGGGTGCAACTACTCAGAGCCCAGTGTGCTGAAGGGCCCCTGCTCTATGCTGTTTCCATATCCAAGCCCAAGCTTGGCTAGAGCTTCAGCAAATCCAAGCCTCCCTGAATTCCCTGCAAGACCAAACTGAGCCCTACAACCCCCACTACACTGGTTAGCTGCCAGTCCCAGCCCCTGCTGCCTCCTGAGCCGCTGTCTGTACAGTTCTGAAGTCCTTCAAGAATGTTGAGAATCTAAGCCAACTCTCACCCAACAAGGTAAACAACCAGGGGCCTCCAGGGGTAGAGAACATACCCAGACAGGTTCTTCTGCCTGTAGGCTCGATGTCCTTCCCCTACAACACACCATGCTTGCCGGGCTGGAAGAGGGGCTCCAGAAACTTGGGAAACCTGGGCCTATAGCTGGCATATGGAAAAGAGGCCTGGAAAAGCACTACTCCTGTCCATGAAGCCCCCAGATGGAACCAGGTAATTGGGAAATACATGGGCACCCAGGCTGACTCCCACTCAGACCCAGGTGGGAAGTGCAGCAGTGACTTGCCCCCTCTGCCACTCTGGCTGTACCACTACAGGAGGGAGGAGCATCTAGCCCCATGCATGAGTGGAGACACTAGGTGTAGGCAGGTTCCAGTGGTTGCTGCAACTGAACCTTCCCAACCAGGTCCATGCAAGGCCATCTCAGATGGGTGCACACCTGGGTTGGGCAAGGACACCCCTCAGAGTGAGAGCCACTGAGCAGGGCTGTCACAGAGGCCCCTTTTCCTGCTCCAAGGACAGGTTGGGGGGGAGTATGGGGGACATCTGCCCCCTCCCAGCTGCTTCCAGGAGCCACTTCTTTCAAGATGAGGCACTCTCCTGCCTGCCTGTTCCCATTTGGCTGCAATAGACCATTGCCAACATTCAGAGAACAAAAAGGGGCCTCACCTGTTTCCCCGACACGTCGAAGGCAGGTGGGTATGCCCAGGGGACCTGGGGTAGAACCTATACATCGGCCCACCCCCAGGCTATGCTGGCTTCATCTTATCTGTGTGATGGGGGTGGGGGTGGGAATTACCAAGAGACCATCACACAAGCCGTGGACAAGTTCTATAAGAGCCAGGTAGAAAACCACCGTGCATGCTGCCCGGCAACCAGATCACACACACATCTCTTATTTGACAGCTTCCCCAAAGCAGGCTTTGAAGTCCGGGCTCCCTGAGAAGCCTGGGGAGGAGACTCTGCAGGCTAAAGGGCCTATCCCCAAAGGTGCCACCCTCACCAGTCTCATCCTGACAATCTTGGGTTATTTTTGCCCTGAAGTTTTGGAGTGGGGGACAGGGAGACAGCAGACAGTACGCATTAGCCACCTTTCCAGAGAGCATCAGCCCTCCAGACTGGGGCAGGTGAGACCTCCACTCGGGCGTTTTTCTCACTGGCTGCCAGTTGGGGGAAGCAGCATTGTGAGCACCTGCCCGTCTCCCCAGGTCCTGTTCAGAAACCCCATCTGTGCCTCTGGAGAGACTGCCCCGAGCACACAGGCCCAGCAACCAACATCTATGGCCCCCAGGACCTAATCCCCTTCTACATAGGGGTCAGTGCATGTGAGTATACACTGGGCTTGATTTCTGCCCACTAGTCCCTGCCAGATATCCCATGCCCACCTCAAGAGAATGAGGCCACACAAACACACCCAGGCCATCATGGTGATGGAGCAGCTGGGGTCCTACTTGCCCACCCTTCATTGCTGGTTCAGAGCCAGCTGCCTGACCACATTCCTACCCTGAGATGGGACTTTGGGGACATTGCCCACCAGGGTCACTGACCACTTTTAGGGTTCAAGAAACAGGGCAAGCTGGTCCCCTAGAAGTCTGGAACATGGGATAAGCCAAGGCTTGCCTTCAGAACAGGTTTTCCACCACGTAGCCGCCCAAGGCCCAGGGCATCCCCAAGTTCATGTGAAGCCTGCCTGCCATGTCCACAGCCCATGCCCACCCCTCCTGGAGCCACTGGAATGCTTGTTCCTGGGCACACGACAAACCCAGACAGCTTCAGCCTTGCAGGACAACCGTGCACACCTGGCAGCCGTAGCCGGAAGGGGGGCCCATAGATAGAAGTTGGAGGTGAAGCCGGATGCTATGAGAATACTTTATTCGGCAAAATCGTATACTATAAAAATGCTTTAAAATGCAGGAGGAGAGGTGAAGACACAAACAAGTGCGTAGTGACACATGGCAGTCAGAACACAGTAAAGAATCCACACTACTTCCCTCCTTTACCTAGAAAAGGAAAGTTCTAGGCCTCCTCCTCCTCCTCCTCCTCAGCATATTCCTCAAACTCCTCCTCCTCGGCTGTGGCATCCTGATACTGTTGATACTCAGAAACTAGGTCGTTCATGTTGCTCTCCGCCTCGGTAAATTCCATCTCATCCATCCCCTCGCCCGTATACCAATGGAGGAAGGCCTTGCGCCGGAACATTGCTGTAAACTGCTCTGAGACACGCTTGAAGAGCTCCTGGATGGCTGTGTTGTTCCCAATGAAGGTGGCTGACATTTTTAGCCCCCGGGGCGGGATGTCACAGACGGCTGTTTTGACGTTGTGGGGGAGCCAGTCAGCGAAGTAGCTGCTGTTCTTATTTTGAATGTTGAACATTTGTTCATCCACCTCCCTCATGGGCATGCGACCCCTGAAAATGGCAGCCGCCGTTAGGTAGCGGCCATGACGAGGGTCACACGCGGCCATCATATTCCTGGCGTCAAACATCTGCTGCGTAAGCTCAGCCACCGTCAGGGCCCGGTACTGCTGGCTGCCCCGGCTGGTCAGGGGGGCAAAGCCGGGCATGAAGAAATGCAGCCGGGGAAACGGGACCATGTTCACGGCCAGCTTCCGCAGGTCAGCATTCAGCTGGCCTGGGAAGCGCAGGCACGTGGTGACCCCGCTCATGGTGGCAGACACCAGGTGGTTCAGGTCACCGTAGGTGGGCGTGGGCAGTTTCAGGGTCCTGGAACAGATGTCGTATAACGCTTCGTTGTCTATACAGAAGGTCTCGTCTGCATTTTCTATGAGCTGGTGGACCGAGAGGGTGGCATTGTAGGGCTCCACCACCGTGTCTGACACCTTGGGGGAGGGCAGGATGCTGAATGTGTTTATGATCCTGTCTGGGTACTCCTCCCGGATCTTACTGAGCAGAAGGGTACCCATCCCAGACCCCGTCCCCCCACCCAGGGAGTGGGTCAGCTGGAAACCCTGCAGGCAGTCACAGCTCTCAGCCTCCTTTCTGACAACGTCCATCACTGACTCCATCAGCTCTGCGCCTTCTGTGTAGTGCCCCCTGGCCCAGTTGTTTCCGGCCCCACTCTGACCTGTAAGACAGTACAGCCAGTCACTCGATGGCCAGGTATACGGTCATCAGTGGTCACTATAATGCAAAAAGGGCCAAGTGTCATGTGAGGTGAGCGCACCGTTCTCCCTGCAGGTGGAGCAAATGAAACCCCTCCCCCAGAGTTACAGGACAGCAGCCTCCCTGTTAGAAATTAAGTCAGGAGTCAAACCTGAGACAGGCTGACAGACCTCCCTGCAGGTGGCTCCTGCCCATTTTCTGGGAAGGCAGTAGCCATGGCCCCAGCTCAGCTCCCTGCAGGGGGTTGACATCAGTAGCTCCTCACCTTGAGGAGACACCTGCCTTCCTCCCAAAGCCCCTTTAGGAGGCAGATGGAGCGACTGGGAGGATAGGAAGGTGTTCAGGGGCCCTGGATCCACGGTTCCCACGGCCATGACCTTGGGGAACTCCTAGATTTTGAGTGGCCCTGGCTAAGAAGCCGCACCCCAGTCCTCACCCACAGCTCACCAAAAATGAAGTTGTCTGGCCTGAAGATCTGCCCGAAGGGCCCCGAGCGCACAGAGTCCA